AGGAGACGACTCCCGGGACACGTACTGCTAGTTGTCACATCCCACACGTGCGTGTCACATCCCACGTGCGCCCTGTGATCCCTTACACGTGCGCTACCCATCACAGTATCAGTATGGGGTGCACAATAAACTAGAGGCCTCCGGCGGCAACACCCACACCAAGCGTACAGAGGACGGGTCGCCATCGTACAGACTTTAAAACCTACTTCACCTTAGCAAACCCAAACCCGACTACATCCAGCATCTGATCTTGTCAAAATTTTCTATCGTCTACATCTTCGCCTGACCCAACCAATCTAACCGAAGCTAATACAACCTAACCTAAGGCAAATACATCGTAACCTCATAACGTACCAACCCACAGTGTCATGCATAGAAAACGTAGGTATTTGTGTACCGTTAGTTTTCATTTGTAACATTGGTTACCAGAACGTAAAGAACGCGCCCTGTTAGTTGTGCATAATGGTGTAGCAGGTGTAAGGGATAGAATCAAACAAGACGAACAAGAGGTATTAAGTACTAAATACCCCTACGGGCTCACCATAGCCCGTGCTACTTGGAACTGTTTGTTCCAAGTAGCGAATCTTTAACAACAGCAACAACAACCCCCAGCTGGATATTAATAAGGGTTTTCTCTGGCAAACAGATGACGTGTTGACAAGCTATTTAAATTGTGTCGACATGAGATGTGTGTTACATGAGCCGAGTGTTCAAGGCGAGTGTGACCCCGACCACCCCATGAGTCTCGCCATAATGATAATAATAATAATTGATTCGCAAAAATGTACAGTGGGTTGGCGAGATTACATAGGACTGGTTTTAGTTTAGTTCATTTATTATGCACCCCATACCCATCTTGTGGGCGGTAGTGGAAGGGGGTTACAGAGGCACATAATGGGCTCAGGGAGTGATTATGTGCCTCTGTAACCCTTTCCACTACCGCCCACAAGATGGGTATGGGGTGCATAATACTGGTATTTGTACATTCTTTCAGCGCCACTAACACGGAGAGCGTTTCGGGCAGGTCCTTAAGTTAACCTATCAGGCAAGATGAAAAGGTACATTTATAGCAAGGTTTTATATCAACAAATAACAACGATATTAAATGACAGATAACGGGTTGAGAATAGCTTGAGCTACCTCATCCCTTCGTGTGTATTTTACCTCAATAAACTTGTTTCAATTTCAACTGAGAGGTGATTACACTGATAAAGATACATGTCTTGAGTGCTAATATTGGGGAAGTAGGTAGTACAAGATATAGAGAGTTTGAAGCACAAGGTAAGAAATAATGAGGATGAAACGAGGTACTTTTTTGGTTACACTTTTGAATAAGGCATAGTTTAGACAATTTTTGAATTCATTAGTGAGTGACTTCCATGTACACCTCACACGTTGTACAGCATTCTACACACAGGTTTTATTTAGTCTATAAGTCTTAAAATTAAAATAGTACGCATGTTATTGATTTTTACTTCTCTAGCAGTATGTTTTACCGCCCTGATGGTCAGTAACGTGGTTGTCAACTGGCCTCTTACAGCAGCTGTACAATCACCCATCTCTCTAAGTAGATTTTAATATTTCTCCGGACTTTTATATTCCATCAGTGTCTAGAGAACTGTACAAATTAATGTTGTTTAAACTATTTTACATTCATTGAGCATCATGGCATGAATTGACTTGCCTCTTAAAGACTCGTCATATATCTTTATAATACAGAAAATCCCGCCGTCCGGCTCCAAAGTTTTGTTTTGAATTAAATGACGTTATTGTGATTTGACTGTCTGACAGGTGTGTCTTACAGGTGTGTTTAGTGAACTCCATTACCCACGTCAGAGTGCAAGCGGCTTACATGTGAACATTGCGTTTGGTACCAGCTCGGTGCCTGCAAATTCCTTGCAAGTTTGGGCGTCCTCCAGGCTGTGCAACTTTTGGCCTATCGTGGACCGTGGATATATCCACAAAGAAACAATATGAAAGTGATCCATGGTTTAAGGCGCGTGTCTGGGGTGCGGGGGGTGACGATCTCCGTCCTCTTCCAAAGATATTCATCAGATATTGTCATTTCATTGTGTCATTTATAATAATTTTGGGGGAACCAAATAATTATAAATGTAGAGTCATATATGAGGGATTTAATATATCCAGCGGTGGGCATGGCAGAAGGTGGAGTGAAGGTCGCGGTCATCGGAGAACAAGTGACCTTCAGAGAGCGGGGAGGGCAATGTTGTACACTGAACACATCTTTCGCGCCTCTCTGCCCCAGCACAGCTTCCGTAGTGGGAGAACTGACAGTGTATTAGCCCCGTCAGCTCCCCACCGCGTGGACTCTGAGGCCCTGGGAGGTGACGGTACGCAATGGAATCTTTCCAGCAATATATGCTGGAAAGGTCAGTGAAAATGAGAGAGATTTGTTTGTGACTCGATTGGAAGGGAGAAGCCAAAAGAAAAAGAGCTGATATGGGAGGGATCGGGGAGGAAAAGATGGTGTGGGTAGATAGAGCGAGGGAGGGTAGGGAAGGAGGAGACCCCCCCCCCCGCCCCCAAGCACGCCATCATTATACTGCCTTCCAAATAAAGTATAACCAAGTCGACACCTGACTCCCTGTGTTGCCTCAGTGTGAGACGGGGCGGGAGGGGGGGGGAGATATCTTGCATGTTCCTGTGTGTCGGGTGGGTGGCTGTGTGTGTGTGTGTGTGTCGGGTGGGTGGCAGTGTGTGTGTGTGTGTCGGGTGGGTGGCAGTGTGTGTGTGTGTGTCGGGTGGGTGGCAGTGTGTGTGTGTGTGTCGGGTGGGTGGCTGTGTGTGTGTGTGTGTCGGGTGGGTGGCTGTGTGTGTGTGTGTGTGTCGGGTGGGTGGCTGTGTGTGTGTGTGTGTGTCGGGTGGGTGGCTGTGTGTGTGTGTGTGTGTCGGGTGGGTGGCTGTGTGTGTGTGTGTGTGGGGTGGGTGGGTGTGTGTGTGTGTGTGTGTCGGGTGGGTGGCTGTGTGTGTGTGTGTGTCGGGTGGGTGGCTGTGTGTGTGTGTGTCGGGTGGGTGGCTGTGTGTGTGTGTGTCGGGTGGGTGGCTGTGTGTGTGTGTGTCGGGTGGGTGGTTGTGTGTGTGTGTGTGTGTGTGTGTGTGTGTGTGGGTGGGTGGCTGTGTGTGTGTGTGTGTGTGTGTGTGTGTGTGTGTGTGTGTGTGTGTGTGTGTGTGTGTGTGTGTGTGTGTCGGGTGGGTGGGTGGCTGTGTGTGTGTGTGTGTGTGTGTGTGTGTGTGTGTGTGGTGTGTGTGTGTGTGTGTGTGTGTGTGTGTGTGTGTGTGTGTGTGTGTGTGTGTCGGGTGGGTGGCTGTGTGTGTGTCGGGTGGGTGGCTGTGTGTGTGTGTCGGGTGGGTGGCTGTGTGTGTGTGTCGGGTGGGTGGCTGTGTGTGTGTGTCGGGTGGGTGGCTGTGTGTGTGTCGGGTGGGTGGCTGTGTGTGTGTGTCGGGTGGGTGGCTGTGTGTGTGTGTCGGGTGGGTGGCTGTGTGTGTGTGTGTGTGTGTGTGTGTGTGTCGGGTGGGTGACTGTGTGTGTGTGTCGGGTGGGTGTCTGTGTGTGTGTGTCGGGTGGGTGACTGTGTGTGTGTGTCGGGTGGGTGACTGTGTGTGTGTGTCGGGTGGGTGGCTGTGTGTGTGTGTCGGGTGGGTGGCTGTGTGTGTGTGTCGGGTGGGTGGCTGTGTGTGTGTGTCGGGTGGGTGGCTGTGTGTGTGTGTCGGGTGGGTGGCTGTGTGTGTGTGTCGGGTGGGTGGCTGTGTGTGTGTGTCGGGTGGGTGGCTGTGTGTGTGTGTCGGGTGGGTGGCTGTGTGTGTGTGTCGGGTGGGTGGCTGTGTGTGTGTGTCGGGTGGGTGGCTGTGTGTGTGTGTCGGGTGGGTGGCTGTGTGTGTGTGTCGGGTGGGTGGCTGTGTGTGTGTGTCGGGTGGGTGGCTGTGTGTGTGGGTGTGTCGGGTGGGTGGCTGTGTGTGTGTGTCGGGTGGGTGGCTGTGTGTGTGTGTCGGGTGGGTGGCTGTGTGTGTGTGTCGGGTGGGTGGCTGTGTGTGTGTGTCGGGTGGGTGGCTGTGTGTGTGTGTGTCGGGTGGGTGGCTGTGTGTGTGTGTGTCGGGTGGGTGGCTGTGTGTGTGTGTGTCGGGTGGGTGGCTGTGTGTGTGTGTGTCGGGTGGGTGGCTGTGTGTGTGTGTCGGGTGGGTGGCTGTGTGTGTGTGTCGGGTGGGTGGCTGTGTGTGTGTGTCGGGTGGGTGGCTGTGTGTGTGTGTCGGGTGGGTGGCTGTGTGTGTGTGTCGGGTGGGTGGCTGTGTGTGTGTGTCGGGTGGGTGGCTCTGTGTGTGTGTGTCGGGTGGGTGGCTCTGTGTGTGTGTGTCGGGTGGGTGGCTCTGTGTGTGTGTGTCGGGTGGGTGGCTCTGTGTGTGTGTCGGGTGGGTGGGTGTGTCAGAGGAGTGGGTGGCATGCGTCAAGCCGTGCATGACTGATGTCAACACCACAGTGTAACCCGACCAATCCGCTGGTCTGCCAGTACCAAACCCCACACAACCTGACCACTCACCTCACACACACAGTTTCCCCTCTCCCAATAAACGTTACCTACCATCACCACCACCTTACCCCCATCTTAAATCTTTAGTTCCCTCTCTCCCATCGCCCCCTTATCAAGCCCTTTGGTCAAAAAGGTTTCCAAACAACGCTATGAACTTCAATGAACTTCCCTCCCTTCAATCGCCATAGCAACTTTTCTAATGTCTTTCCCATCATTCCTTCAACCGTAAGCACTTGCACACTTTACCGTCGCCTCCTTCAATCACCACCACCCTCATCCTTCCCTTTCTCTTCCTTCCATCCTATCTCCCTCTCCTTCACTCAATTCAGTTACCTATACCACTCTCGCTGCCCACAAACCTGGCAGTTGCATCCTCTCTACCCTTGCCAACATAGCCGGTCAGCCTGGTCGTTGTATCCAGCCTGCTGTGGATGTCGAACCCCCGTACCCACTGACCTGGTCGTTCTGGTTGTTGCAGTAGGTCTTGAGTGTGAGCTTGGAGTTGCAGACTTGGCACTTGAAGCAGCCAGTGTGGAAGAAGCTGAAGTCTTTGAGCGGACCGATGCGGTCCACCTGGTACACCGTCTGGCCGCACCGCAGACACGCGTTCTCGTACAGGTTCATCATCGTGGCTGGCATGCTGTCAGGGAGAGAGGCAGGGCTCAGTGCTGACGGCAGAGGCAAGTGCTGAGGGGGGGTAGGGGGGTGTGTGTGTTGAAGGGGGGGGGGGGTATGCAGAGGGTGGGGAGGGGGGGGGGAGGAAGGGGGGGGTGTGCTATGGGGGGGATGGTACTAGACTGCCCTACATATCGGCAAGAACATTTACAATAAAAGGTAAACATTTGAGCCTAATTCTACTAACACTACAGCACTACCACCAGTGCTGTAGCTACCACCACCACCACCGCCGGAGTTGTCCAATACCACCCTATTTTCTGGACCGCAGTCGTGCGCTAATTACGCCGATCAGCGAGAGGTCGTAGACAAAATGATGTCGGACAGCCCCACGATCACGAGAGAATCAATACACTTATCTACCAGAGTACAGAACACAGGTCCCAGCTAAATTACCCGTCTAGATGTAACTATCTCCAATGAGGACAGATCGACGCCAGACGGATGTCTCGCCAGATTCCGATGTATATTGGTCGTGAAAATAAAATTAACTTTGATAAATGTTATCGTTAAGGATTTGGCATGATATATATTGGGTAAAATGCAGCTAACACACAGATCCCAAAATGGAACACAATTCAGTTTGAGAGAGAAAGGTTCACAGGTGCACGCGTGTTTGCTTAACATTAAGTTATTGAATGGACTTGTTTTAATACACAGTGTTGGGGATTTCATTGTGTCATACGAAGCTCAATGACAGAGGGACATATAATAGTTCAAATAGGTGATTGTGTTGTGGCAACAATGTCCCGGCTTTAACATTGAGGATGACGCACTTCTGGAATAATGTTTCCTAATCACTGCAGTAATTAATGGGGACATTAATTAATCATATATTCGGGAATTTCAAAATCGGTTAGGCGACCTCTCACGATGTTCAAGAGAGAACTCGACAAACACCTCTAAAGAATACCTGCTCAACCAGGCTGTGATTAGCAGGTCAGGCTGTGAGCAGCCGTGCCCAACAGCCTGATTAACCAAGCCACCAAACAGGCGGCCTGGTCAGAACCCGAGACGCCGGGTCGTTCATCCTCGGAATCACCTTGTAGTGATTCAGAGCATCAACGAGAATGCCGAGGAGAGGCAGATGCAGTGCGACATCCATATTACACTATAAGGGGTTCCTAGGGGTACCGGGCCCACCCTGTACACAGGCCCCGCCCACACAAATGAAGAAAAAGCACGTATTGAGAACTATGCCTTTTCAACACAAGCAGAACTCACTGCCATTGTTATTGGCGTCAAGATTCCTTGAATGAAAGATTAATGGTGCAGTGATCTGCACTGATTCACAAGCAGCGCTACAAAGCCTCGATAAAAATCGGGCAGAAAATCTTGCGATAGTCGCTGAAATCAAGAGAGTTGTGAGAGTACTAACCAAGCAGGGAAGCGTCGTCAAGTTTCTGTGGATCCCCTCCCATGTTGGAATATGTGGGAATGAACGAGTAGATGTGCTGGCTGCTGAAGGAGACCATATTGAATACTTCATACCCAAGACTTTTCTACAAATTACAGGTATTGTCAGGCAACATCACCGTGACAAAGTAACTTAGGAAAGGAGGATAGAAGAACAAACCAGTGAATCTGTACAATGGTACAATGTGGTTGCAGCGGCAATCCCAATCATTATGGACGAAGAGGAGGTGGCTGAGGGAGAGAATCACTAATAGCAAGAATCAGTCTTTGATACAAATATCCATGGAGATTCGGAATGGAAACAACAGTTTAGTAGAGGAGTTGCAGAATCTGTGGTGAGAGTGACTGACACCGCCTTGACCACAACCTGAGAGAATGTGAACATCTAAGAGTCATTGGAAATGTGTGTAGAATAACAAACCCCACATTGTTTGAGTTAGGAAAATACTATTTGTCAAATATAGATACTGTTAATAAATTCCACCATTTTGCACCCGCAAGATAATGTAAGACTTTAAGGACTAAGTTAATATTTTTGTTTGAGAAGCTGTTCACTTGAGACAGTTAAGCAAGTCCCAGCTGTGTCTGGATAAAAGTGACAGGATGAACAACCCAGGGGGAAGGGTTCTTCCTACTGAGGGGTGTTGTACATGCTGCTATGGCGATGTCTCGCCACAAGACGAGTGGCGCTGCCCAATAAACTCGTCCCTCAGGGAAAAATTTATTAAAATTAACCTCCCCGGCTTCAGACTCGCCACCCTCCCCCCGTCTCTTCCAACCCCCCCCCCCTCCCCATTTCCCTTCCCCTCACCACCCATACCCTCTTGCCAAGTAGCCTTCCCATCTCCCTCTCCCTCACACCCATCCCATCTCTCACCACTCCCCACCCACCGTCTCCCAGCATCACTAACCATTTTCCCTATTCATTATCTCCATCACTAACCAAATTGTTGCTCATAGAATGCAACTCTTTCTTCTTTTTGAATTAATACATTAGGTACATCTGCATTTGTGCAGCTACCCTATACTATATGAAGGGGAGTACAGTGTGTGTCAAAAAGGCCTTCAAAAAGGCCTACTTGATGCTAAAATCCCCATCACACAGGATGGTTAGTCATACAGAGGCATGTGATCAGTAGTCTGCACTGGCAAACTCCGACTCAAACACTAAAGTCTACGGACTCGGGACTGAACACTTCATATCCACAGACGTCGTATAGGAGGTTACCTTGAGGTGCTTCCGGGGCTTAGCGTCCCCGCGGCCCGGTCGTCGACCAGGCCTCCTGGTTGCTGGACTGATCAACCAGGCTGTTGGACGCGGCTGCTCGTAGCCTGACGTATGAGTCACAGCCTGGTTGATCAGGTATCCTTTGGAGGTGCTTATCCAGTTCTCTCTTGAACACTGTGTGGGGTTTGCCAGTTATGCCCCTTATGTGTAGCGGAAGCGTGTTGAGTCTCGGGCCTCTGATGTTGATAGGAGGGGCACTGGGCAGACCCCGACTCTGACACGATGGATAAAAATCCCCATTAATCTTACCAAGTTTAATGAGGCTAGCCCCAAACATCTGACCTCTATCCTCGACGAGACTGACATTCTTTCTCACACAAATATTAACTCCCTCGTCATGGCAACCTCATATTCGGCCAAGCTGGCTGGTCAATTATTACTGTGATACTCTCCTGTTGTTTTAGATTCAGCTACTTAGAACAAAAGTTCCAAGGTAGCACGGGCTATGGTGAGCCCGTAGTGGACTTACCTGGCACAGAAGCGGGGCTGTAACTACGGTGTACTTAGGGAGCCGGTCGGCCGAGCGGACAGCACGCTGGACTTGTGATCTTGTGGTCCTGGGTTCAATCCCAGGCGCCGACGAGAAACATTGGGCAGAGTTTCTTTCACCCTATGCCCCTGTTACCTAGCAGTAAAATAGGTACCTGGGTGTTAGTCAGCTGTCACGGGCTGCTTCCTGGGGGTGGAGGCCTGGTCGAGGACCGGGCCGCGGGGACAGTAAAAAGCCCCGAAATCATCTCAAGATAACCTCAAGATACTCTCCTGGGACGGGAGTTATTATATAGTTTACGGAGAACATTGTGTGGTGAGAGTGGTGAGATGTGAGGTGTTGACCCCACCCTGGCAACATCACCACCACCCTGGTAACGCCAGCGTCACCCTCATACCACCTGCACAATTACATATACCACCACCAGTAACATCAACGAGGGCTTACCAACAATAACACATGTAGTAACGTCTAAAACAATTATTAGAAGTATAAGAACCGTGCGTCCCCTGGGCACGTGTGTGAAGGGCCCCTCACACACGTCAATACTGATCCCTCTCAACACGCACCCCCCCCCTCCCCTCCCGCACCCCCTCCACCCCCCCCCTCCCCCACCCGCACCCCCTCCACCCCCCCCCCCCCCCCACCCGCACCCCCTCCACCCCCCCTCCCCCCCAACCCAACCTCACCCCACCCGCACCCCCGCAACCACACACACACACCACCTCCCACACAGGGGCCTCCAACTACTTGAAATGGACAGTAGAGCGCCGGTCTCTCTTCATGCAGGTCGGCGTTCCATCCCCGACCACCCAAGTTGTTGGGCACCATTCCTCCCCCCCCCACACCCCACCCCGTCCCATCCCTAATCCTCATCCTGACCCCTTCCAAGTGCTATTTAGTCGTAATGGCTTGCTGCTTTCTCCTAATAATTCCTTTCCCTTCTCTTCCTATATAGGGGCGCTGGTGGCGGAGTGGACAACACGCTGGATACGTAGTCCTGTGCACCGGAGTTCGATTCCCGGCGCCGGCAGAAACAGATATGAGAGTGAGAAAGAGGGAAAATTTAGAGTAGTAGTTAGTAACCGTTGAGGGCGGGCTGAAAGAGCAGAGCTCATCCCCCGCAAACACAACTAGATCACACACACACACAATCATATGCGTTATAATCTGGAAGAAAATAAGTAGGTTGAAGCAGCTGAAAAACCTGACTTCAGGAGAGGACATTATGGCGACCTTAGAATTTTTTTTAGTGAGTATAATTGGACAGACTTGTCGCTAGGCAAGGAAGTGAATGAGATGTATGTCAATTTTTGTGAAATATATGATAAAAGCACAAAAAAATTTATACCAAAACAGAGATGCAGAACTAGGAAACAGGATTGGTTCAATAGAAATTGCGAGAGGGCCAGAGACCAAAAGACACAAAAATGGAATCAATACAGGAAGAGGCCAAACCCCCAAACATACCAGCGATACAAAGATGCGAGAAACAACTACACGGCAGTGAGGAGAGAGGCAGAAAGACATTTTGAAAAAGGGATTGCAGACAAATGTAAAACAGAACCAGGTCTATTCTATAAATTCATAAACAACAAATTGCAGGTAAAGGATAATATTCAGAGGTTGAAAATGGGAAATAGATTCACGGAAAATGAAAAGGAAATATGTGAAACATTAAACGAAAAGTTCCAAAGTGTGTTTGTACAAAATGAAATCTTCAGGGAACCAGACACAATAAGAATTCCAGAGAACAGAGTACATAGAGGTG